CTCATAACTGGGACTTTACAATTCATAATTGTGACTTTGTCTCATAAATGTGACTTTATATCTCAGAAATGTGACTATATCTCATAATTGTGACTTTATATCTCAACTGGGACTTTATAACTCATAATTGTGACTTTATATCTCATAATTGTGACTTTATAACTCATAAATGTGACTTTATATCTCATAAATGTGACTTTATAACTCATATATGTGACTTTATATCTCATAAATGTGACTTTATAACTCATATATGTGACTTTATATCTCATAAATGTGACTTTATATCTCGTAATTGTGACTTTATAACTGAATTCTGTCTTTATAACTCATAAATGTGACTTTATATCTCATAAATGTGACTTTATATCTCATAAATGTGACTTTATAACTCATAAATGTGACTTAATATCTCATAAATGTGACTTTATAACTCATAAATGTGACTTAATATCTCATAAATGTGACTTTATAACTCATAAATGTGACTTTATATCTCATAATTGTGACTTTGTAACTGAATTCTGTCTTTATAACTCATAAATGTGACTTTATATCTCGTAATTGTTACTTTATAACTCAATACTGTCTTTATATCTCAGAATAGTGACTTTAAACCTCATAATTGACTTTATATCTTATAATTTTGACTTTATAACTCATAAATGTGACATTTTAAACCTCATAATTGTGACTATATCTCAATTCTAACTTTATATCTCAGAATTGTCTTTATGACTCAAAATTCTGACATTGTATCTTAAAAATCTTACTTTATATCAGAATTGTGACTTTATACCTCAGAATTGTTCATTTGTATCTCAGAGTTCTGTCCTAAAAACTCATAAAACCTTTTTTTTTTCAGTGGCAGGAAGAGTGTAAATCAACAGGAGCTCAGCTGAACTGTTTTATAGGGTTTTGCTGCCCCCTAATGTTCACAGAACAGCACTACACTTACGTGTAACTTAATCTGATTGAGCCATGGCAGCACTACACTTAAGTGTAGTGCTGTGATGGCTCAATCAGATTAAGTTAATTTAAGTTCTCTCAATAAAATAAAGTGACTTAAAATATGTTTAACCATGTGGTTAAGCAGGAAGTTAAAGGGTTAAAATTAGATGCATAGTTTGTCTGACCTACAGTAACCTCTGAAATAGCTAATCAGAGGATATTGTTGGTCAGAATATACTAAATATCCCTCAAAACACTGAAAACCTAAAAACATTTGATCAATAAATTAGATGCAATATAAATAAATACATAAATTAGATTAATTGAAGCATTTATTAGGCTACACAGACTAATATAACATAATTCTCACACTGATCTCGTCGTTAACTTACTTTATTCTGCAAAACAAAGCGTGTATATACATAAAATCCCTCAGGTAAAGCTCAGACTAGTATTACCAACAGGCTGATGGTTAAACCTGACACACTAAACATGTATTATTATCAAGAGACTCAGACGAACATATCAGGTGACTCCAATTCAGCATTTTATTGTTAACATTCTCTTTAATAACATCATCATATTACAAAACACAGGAAAATACAAAACAAAGGTAACACTGTGGTAATCTGACTCGCTCCTTCTGAAATATAATAACAATAATAATGCACAGACAGGATGATGGGAGGAATGATGAAATCAGAGACGGGGAATAATAAAGCCGATGCTTCAGATAAAGCAGAGGTGTTGTCCATGACCGTACATGCTGTAGACGTAGAGAGTACTGGCCGGATTATGGAGGACATGAGAAGCTGCATCAAGAAAACATTCATTCTCTTTGGCTTGTGAATATTCAGACTCTGTGAGAAAATGCAATATCCAATGTGTCTGACTGGTGAATTTCAAGAGTATTTAAGAGTGTGTTAGTGATTGTTTGTGTTTATGCATTTTCTTGAGCTTGATCTATTCTATAAACAACTTTTTTATGTTGAAAAGCTTGAAATCGTGACTTTTATTGACATTTTTAATAGTTTAAAGTGATGCATTGTGTGGGTTGGTGTTGTATAATAAGCTATACACTCATTTTTTGTATAGAATATAGTTTTAAACGACGAAAACGTCAATAAAAGTCACTTTGTTAAACCGTAGAGTTGAATTTTCATCCTCAAAAGCCGACATCAACATCCTATAATGCAGTAAATAAACAGAAAAATTAGTTATTAAAACTATTATGTTGTAAAAAATCTTCATTAAACAGCACTTGGTGTTATATTAAATGTGTGTGTATATATATATATATATATATATATATATATATATATATATATATATATATATATATATATATATATATATATAGGAGGGCTGATAATTTTGTCTTAAACTCTATATAATGGTAATGGTAGTGGTTTGCCTGTGAATAAGCCTGTGTTTCTATGTAAACGTATGCTCCGTGGCAGTGTAACGCATGTTATTTTCTTTGGTTTATAATAGTCTGTAACATTTGGCCATATTTAAAGGTGCACTCGGGCATATTTGGCAGTGATTTTGGTTTACAGTGAGACTTTAGTGTCGTAGATGCGGTATAGAGAGGATATTGCAGCAGCGCTGGTTCCAGAAGTACTTACAAGTCATTGGATGCCCTTCTAGCTGCAACCCAGTGCTGGAAAACACACTCATACCAACACAAACTCACACACTACGGCCAATTTAGTTCATCGATTCCTCTATGGCGCGTGTGTTTGGGCTGTGGGGGAGCACCCACACACAGAAACTCCACCCAGATGTGTCAACTGACCCAGCCGAGGCTCGAACCAGCGACCTTCTTGCTGAGAGGCGACAGTGAGCCACCATGTCACCTCATATTAACATAAAAACACTGTTGACACATTATAAAGCTGCCAGTTAAAGGGCTAGTTCACCCAAAAATGGAAATTCTGCTTGTTTTAAAACAGAAGATTAGGTTTCAAACAAGCGGAGGAGTTTCACTTTTGATTGAACTGTCCCTTTCAAAACTACAATCCCATGATGCATTGCTGATGACACAATTGAATAAACATGATGATACAACTACTGATTTTAATTGTTGCTCGTGTTCACGAAACAGATTTTGAATGCATAAGGAAACTTGACTGCATCATTTAAGCTGGGGGACAGCAAAGCATCATGGGTAATGTAGTTTTTCTGCAAGAGTGTTTTAAGAATACGTTAAATGAATGATCAGGTGGCTTCAAGAACAGCACATACAATCCATCAGAAGAGCTCACGACAGCTTTGTCTATAAAGTTGGATTATGTATTGTTAAACTCTATTCCCCGTTAGAGAAAATCAGTGGAGTTTTTACTTCCCGACTGTTTATTTATTTAGCATTTTACTGTGATTGTACCCTGGTATTTCAAGATACGCTGGTCCACTTGGTATTCGAATGTACTTCGGTTCTGACTGACAAAACCCAAATTCATAGTCCTGCTCTGAAAAGAGACTATGGTTTCTAAAATAATCACAATTAAAACAAAACCAAATAAACAAGGCACATATTGTGTAAATAATAGTGAAGAAAGGCACTGTTTAAAGGCACAGGTCACCTGAAATAAGTATTCAGTCATCATTTACTCTGGAAAGTTCTGTATTAGATGCAAAAGAGGCTTGTTTGAGCTCCAGAAAGCACAAAAATGGACCATAGACGAATGGTGCTTCATGCCAAGTTATGCAACAGCTTTGTGTGAGAGTCTAGCAAACCGGAAACATTCTCTGAACATTCTGGCAATGTTCTCTCAATGTTATGAACGACCGTTCTTCCAGCAATGCTCATTTACAGTTATCTGGTCTCAGTTGGAAGTGTTTTGTTTAACCGTATAATAATGTAGATAATCTAGATATCTACTAAGAGTTTGAGAAATGTGTTTGTTCAGAATATTCAGCAGTGAAATGTCCATACTGTTTCCCTAACCAACAACAACAACAACAACACGTTTTTAGAATATTAATATGGATGTTTTGAGCTTCACAGGAAAGTTAAAAACATCCCAATCTTTGGTAGCCGAGTTTTTTCTAGAGCTGTGGTGAAAAAATGTCTGAGAAATCAATCCTGCATCAGTTCTGAGATTTTCAAAATGCACTGAGACTCTCTTAAATCGAATTGAGCTTATTTTTTAACAGTAGATGGCACTCTAGGCTAGTTTTTAACACTGTCAACCTTTTATACACTAGCCTAGAGCACCCTCTGCTCTTAAACACTAGCCTAGAACACCATCTACTGGCCTAGAGCACCCTCTGCTCTTAAACACTAGCCTAGAACACCATCTACTGGCCTAGAGCACTATCTGCTGTTCAAAACTACATAAAGTGCCATCTGCTGTTTAAAACCTAGCCTAGAGTGATGTATGCTGTTTAAAAACTAGCCTAGAGCACTGTCTGCTGTTTAAAACCTAGCCTAGAGTGATGTATGCTGTTTAAAAACTAGCCTAGAGCACTGTCTGCTGTTTAAAACCTAGCCTAGAGTGATGTATGCTGTTTAAAAACTAGCCTAGAGCACCGTCTGCCGTTTAAAATCTAGCCTAGAGCGCTGTCTGCCGTTTAAAACCTAGCCTAGAGCACCGTCCGCTGTTAAAAACTAGCCTAGAGCGACATCTACTGGCATAAAGCGCCTTCGGCTCTTAAACACTAGTCTAGCCTAAAGTGCCTTCTGCTGTTAAAAACCAGCCTAGAGCGACAGCTGCTTTTAAAACTAGTCTAGCGCGACATCTGCTGTTAAAAAACAGCCTAGAGTGCCGTCCTTTTTCGAAAACTAGCCTAGAGCGTCATCTGCAGTTTAAAACTAGTCTAGAGCGACATCTGCGGTTTAAAACTAGCCTAGAGCGTCATCTGCAGTTTAAAACTAGCCTAGAGCGTCATCTGCGGTTTAAAACTAGCCTAGAGCGACATCTGCTGTTAAAAACTAGCTTAGAGCACGGTCCTCTGCTAAAAGCTAGCCTAGAGCAACATCTGCTGCTAAAAGTTAGCCTAGAGTGACATCTGCTGTTAAAAACTAGCCTAGAGCGGTGACTGCCGTTAAAACTAGCCTAAAGCACCATTTGCTGTTTAAAACTAGCCTAGAGCGCCGTCTGCTGTTAAAACTAGCCTAGAGCGTTGTCTGCTGTTAAACACTAGTCTAGAGCACCAACTACTGTTAAAAACACCCTCCGAGTGGTTTCAAGAGAGAACAGCGACTGATTTTGTAAAGCTCAGAATGGATGCAGAGCTGGTTTTCGGCAACAGCGCTAGTTTGTTCTGTGGGCTGGAGTGGTTTCATTCATCTGTAAATCCCTGTAGTGGCGTCACCGGTGTGTTGATGCTGCTGCTGATTTCAGGTGATCTGCTCCTGAGAGTGGACGTCAGTAGAGGCCGTGTTTCTCCAGCAGACAGAGGAGAGTCTGTGTGTGTGTGTGTGTGTGTGTGTGTGTGTGTGTGTGTGTGAGTATGTATGTATATATGTATGTATGTGTGTATGTATGTATGCATATATGTGTGTAGGCATGTTTGTATGTAAGTGTGTGTGTGTAGTGTACACAGCACCTTCTCTGCTCATGAACTGTGCTCAGCTCTCAGTGCTCTGCCTCAGGAGATGACGGATCTCAGTGACTGTGAGTGTGTTTTTCTCAGGACGTCACTCTGTTTTCGAGTGGTTGTTGTTGTATGTGGCGTGGCCGTTCTGAGCTGCTCCGTTCTTCTTCTTTATCTCTCCATTTTTCAACTCTTCTTCCTCCTCAGACTCGTCCGTCTCATCTCGATCAGATCGCTCGTCTTCTACTGATGACTATTGAGATGAAACAAACAATGTCAGGAGAAAATCTTTAAAGATGCACTGCTAAAAAATGTTTGTTAAAGCATTAACCAGTGTAAACGATCTGGACATACATTGCTGCTGAGGAAGCGGAAGGCCAGGCGTATGATCAGCGCAGCCCAGAACATGTGCAGACACAGCAGAACCATCAGCAGACCGTTAAAGAAGTAATATCCGAAGAACGGAGGGTAGAGCGTCACGGGATACACCCACGTACAGTACATGATCCTGAGAAACACACAGAACAATAACATCAAGGGTCTGCACCATGAAGCCGGATTAAGTTTCAGTTCAGTTTGCACAAATACTGGATTTTAGGTTCCATGAAGCTGGCTTAGGTTAGTCACTCTTTGTCACTAACCTGCTCCGAGGCAAGATATGTTCAAGTTATCTTTGGGTTATGTACTGGTTAGCTTCTGGTTATGTTCCAAGTCATGTTCTAGTTGTATACAGGTTATCTTTAGGTTATGTTCTGAGTATATTCAGGTTATATTCTGGTTATGTTCAGGTTATATTTTATTTATGTTCAGGTTATGTTCTAGTTTTGTTCAGGTGATGTTCTGGTAATGTTCTGTAGTATTCAGGTTATATTCTGGTTGTGTTATGGTTATATTCAGGTTTAATTCGGCTTATGTTCAGGTTATGTTCTAGTTATATCCAGGTAATGTTCTGGTTGTATTCAGGTTATGTTGTGGTTATTTGCAGGTTATATTCTGTTTATATTCAGATTATGTTCTTGTTATATTTAGGTTATATACTGGTTATCTCTAGGTTGTGTTCTAGGATATATTCATGTCATGTTCTGCTTTTCTTTAGGTTGTGTTCTGGTTATGTACAGACTATCTTCATGTTATGTTCTGGTTATGTTGCGGTTGTATTCTGTTTATGTTCAGATTATGTTCTTGTTATATTCCGGTTGTGTTCTGGTTATCTTCTGGTTGTGTTCTGGTTGTATACAGGTTATCTTTAGGTTTTGTATTGGTTATGTTCAGGCTATCTTCAGGTTATGTTCTGATATATTCAGGTTATAATCTGGCTATATTCAGGTTATATTCGGTTTATGTTCAGGTTATGTTCTAGTTATATTCAGGTCATGTTCCAGTTATATCCAGGTTAGATTATACTCTGGGTATTGTCAGGTTATATTCTGGTTATGTTCAGGTTATATTCTATTTATGTTCAGGTTATGTTCTAGTTCTAGTTATATCCAGGTAATGTTCTGGTTATATTCAGGTTATGTTGTGGTTATATGCAGGTTATATTTTGTTTATGTTCAGATTATGTTCTGGTTATATTTAGGTTATCTCTAGGTTGTGTTCTGGTTATATACAGACTATCTTCATGTTATGTTCTGGTTATCTTCGGTTTGTGTTCTGGTTGTATACAGGTTATCTTTAGGTTTTGTTCTGGTTATATTCAGGCTATATTCAGGTTATGTTCTGGATATATTCAGGTTATAATCCGGCTTTATTCAGGTTATATTCGGTTTACGTTCAGGTTATGTTTTAGTTATATTCAGGACATGTTCCAGTTATATGAAGGTTGTGTCTGGTTTTATTCTGTTTATGTTCAGATTATGCTCTGGTTATATTTAGGTTATATTATGGTTATCTCTAGGTTGTGTTCTGGTTATATACAGAATATATTCAGGTTATGTTCTGCTTATCTTTAGGTTGTGTTCCGGTTGTATAAAGGTTATCTTTAGGTTATGTTCAGGTTGTATTCAGGCTATCTTCAGGTTATATTCTGGTTATGTTCTAGTTATGTTCTGGTTGCTCAAGTTATCTGTAGGTTGTGTTCTGGTTATATACAGAATATATTCAGGTCATGTTCTGCTTATCTTTAGGTTGCATTTCGGTTGTATAAAGGTTATCTTTAGGTTATGTTCAGGTTGTATTCAGGCTATCTTCAGGTTATACTCTGGTTATGTTCTAGCTATATTCAGGTCGCTCAAGTTATCTTTAGGTTGTGTTCTGGTTATATACAGACTATCTTCAGGTAATGTTCTGTTTATATTTCAGTTGTATTCCTTTTATGTTCTGATTATGTTTTGGTTATATTCAGGTAATGTTTTGGTTATATTCCGGTTATCTCTAGGTTGTGTTCTGGTTTTATAGAAGATATATTCAGGTTACATTTTGATTATGTTCAGGTTGTGTTCTTGTTCAGGCAATATTCTGGTTATGCTCTGCTTATATTCTAGTTAAATTCGTGCTATCTTTATGTTATGTTATGGTTATATTCAGGCAATTTTATTAGGTTATGTTCAGTTAATATTAAGGCTATCTTTAGGTTATGTTCTGGTTTCTTGTGGTTATGTTCTGGTTATAATCAATCTTTGGCTTATGTTCAGTTTTTCAGCACTAATACAGAAATGTCAGCCATTGCATTTGTGTATTTCAGACAAACATGCTTCACATTATACTTTCAAAATGTTTCCAAACAGATCCATTAACATGCAAATATACAAATTTACAAAAAGTATTACATTTAAAACCTATATACTTATTCTTTATCCTGACCAAAGCCAGTACAATGTGTTTAACCACAGTTTAATGTAAGCAGAGAAACAAAGAGACTGATGATGTGATGTACCGGAAAGGGAAGATGATGAGGCGTGTGACGATGAAGATGGCAGCAAACAGGATGAAGATGTAGTTGCATGCGTTCTTCCATCGGGCGTAGTTAAACATCTTAGCTGACTGAGAGATAGAGAGAGAGATGACATGAGGAGAGAAACTGATGTGTTCAGATATATGAGAGAGAGACGGGAATAGTTTTTCTGGTGAAACAGATCAAGCTGTGGAATATTCGAGTACTGGGTTGATTATTAATTCTTGTGGATTTCTGAAGTGTGCATTTGTGTTGTCTTCCACATAACAACATTTTAAATATTGGAAATTAAATGAATGTTGCACTCAGCGCAGTTCCACTTTGGCTTGTTTCGGGATGGTAAAGCAGCTAGCACAGCCAGCGCATGGTCTAAAAGTGTTGTCTTTATTCTCTTCATGTTCACAGTCAGTCGTTGCCTTCCCTTAATCGCACCTCAGTCTTCATTCAGCAGATCTGTGTGCATGTGTACAGTGTAGTGTGTGTTGTGAGATGTGTGTGTGTGTGTGTGTGTTGTTCTGACCTCCAGCAGATAGTCGGCTGAGTCGTGCATGAACATGATGAGCGTTCCTGCTCGGATGTAGTTCACACACCAGGAGAAGCTGATGAGCAGGATGGTGGCAACATGATGGATGATCTGCTCTTTAAAGTCCTGCAGGAGAGCGTGAGGTAACACTGAAGTCATTATACCAAAATCATATAAGTTCATCCATTCATCCATCCGTTAATTCATCCATCCATCCATTCACTCACTCACTCACTCCTCCATCTACTCACTCTCTTACTCACTCTTTCTTATTCATTGATTAATTAATTTGCTCATTCATTGATTCATCCACTCACTCACCCATTCACTCACTCACCCATCCACCCACTCAATCGTTTATACATACATTCATTTACTCACTCACTCATCAATCCATTATCCATCCAGCCATCCACCCACTCACTTGTTCATTGATTAAATGATTCATTCATTCATTCATTCCTTTGTTCATTCATCCATTGATACATCAACTTACGCACCCACCCATCCATTTATCCATCAATTACTTCATCCATCCATCCACTCACTCAGTTACCCATATACCCACCCACTCATTCATTCATACATACATCCACTCACTCACAAACCCACCGATCCATCCATCCATCTACCCACTCACTTTTTAATTGATTGACTGATTGATTGATTCATTCATTCATCTAATGATTCATCTACTCACTCATTCACCCATTCACTTACTCACCCATCCACCCACTCATTCATTCATACATACATCTACTCACTCACTCACCCATCTATCCATCCATCCACCCACCCACCCACTTGTTCATTGATTCATTCATCCATTGATTCATCCACTTACTCACTCACCCATTTACTCACTCACCCATCCACCCACTCATTCATACACACATACATTTACTCACTCACTCATCTGTCCATCCGTCTATCCACCCACTCGCTTGTTCATTGATTGATTGATCCATGCATTCATCCATTGATTCATCCACTCACTTACCTACTCATTCATCCATCCATTAATTCATCCATCCATCCACTCACCCATCCACTCATTCATTCATACATACATCTACTTACTTACTCACCCACCCATATGTCCATCCATCCACCCACCCACTCATTCATTGAGTGATTCATTCATGTATCCATTGATTCATCCACTCACTCACTCACTCACTAATCCATCCACTTACTCACCTACTCACTCACCCATCCACCCACCTACTTATTCATTCATACATACATTCATCCACTCACACACTCACCCACCTATCCATCCATCCACCCACCCACTCATTCATTCATTCTTACATACATCCATCCACTCATTTACTCACTTACCCAACTATCCACCCATCCACCTACTCACGCACTTGTTCACTGATTCATTCATTTGTTCACTTGTTCATTTGTACTCACTCACTCATCCATTCATTCACCCACCCACTCGTTCATTGATTCATTCATTCATTTGTTCACTTGTACTCACTCACCCATCCATCTACTCACCCATCTACCCACTCACTCATCCAGTCATCCACTTACCGACTCACTTATTCATTCATTTATTCATTCGTTCATTGATTCATCCATTGATATATCCATCCATGATATAAAACATTTTAATTTAATACAATTTTAAATAAAATGTTCAGCTTAAGTTTATTTAATAACACGATGATATTCAAAATCTATTTTAGGTCCACTTTATAATTTTATTTTATTTATAAATCAGTGTCAGGCTCAAACCCGTGTGTTTGAATGCATTTCTGACTTCAGATGAATTAGATGGATTGTGGTCGACTGTATTTCCCTAAAGCTGAAGGTAAATGGAAACATTGGGGACATCTGCTGCTTTGAATACAGCGCTGCTCAAAATATAAAGCCAACAACAACGAGCCGTTTGAAGGAAACGATTCATTGAGATGCAAAAATGAGGTCTGCGCTGTGATTGGCTGATGGAGGACTTACCTTGCGCTTGACGTCCGACGCCACACTGAACAGGAGAGAGGTGTAAAAGGCCAGTTCCAGCATGTAGTACCAGTACTGAGACGGCAGGAGTGTCTGAACGAGGACAAATAAATAAAACAATCACTCATCAGCTGTTCGGTGACATGAGCTTTAGATCACTTCAGCTCAATGTAAAGTAGAAGTAGGCAAAAACTTTCACTTATAGGATGTCTGCATTATCATTATGCTGACTATATCCTGACTCTCATGTACACTCACCGGCCACTTTATTAGGTACATCTTACTAGTACTAGGTTGGAGCACCTTTCACCTTCAGAGCTTTCTCAATCCTTCATGGCATAGGTACTGGAAATATAACATAAGGTGTACCTAATAAAGTGGCCGGTGAGTGTTTGTTTTGTTTTTGCAGCTTCACAAAAATGTAGCCTGAAGCAAGTATTTAAGAGGAGCCTGTGCTGGCGTCTACAGCGCATACAGCATCTACCTGATGTTTATTAAAGCAGATGTAACTCACCAGAGTGGGAAACCCTTTCCACATCTCTTCTAAATCATATAACCAGGGTTTCTAGAAACACAGATGGATACCATGCGTTATGTAATAAATCATCACAGAAACAAAAACATGAATAAAACTAGGGCTGCACAATATATATTGAATAAGTATTGTTATTGCAGATGATAAAGTGTATAAAAAGGAATCAGAGAGTGAAATTTAACACCTTTTAAGACCTTTTCTTAACATTTTGAGACCTCATCATCGCCACTTTAGCATGCAATTCATAGCATTGGAGACATTTCACTCTAAATCACTCTGTTTAGTGTCTATTATTGTTTAGCTGTATCCCTTCTAGACTTTACCAGTAGATGGCGCCTAAAGAACAGCAGGGATAATGGTGTTGCCTTGGTTACTGCAGTAAACAAAGCAGCATTATGTCAAATCTAGCTACTAAACTACACAGCATCCTATTTACAGCATATTAGCATACAGCTATACATAATACTATCAAAAATGTCATCTTGTAAAAGTGCTTTTTAATACTTTTCAGGGGCCTTAAATTTCACTAAATTTACTCATTAGTGTTTAATACTTTTTAAAACACAGAGGACCCCCCCCCCTGTAACAGTATATTCAATATTCATAACGCAGGAAAGTGCAACAAATTTAGATTTATGTGCCAAGCATTGTGTGACGCATGCATAGGTCATTCATCCAAATCCGACCAATCAGATGAGGCCTTTACTATCTTTATCCCCGCCTCCCTGTTAGATGAACCCAGAGCTGAAAATAAACACTAATGCTGGGAGACATGAAAAGAAAACTAGATTCTTAAAGTTTGAGGACAAACTTTGAGGCTGGCTTGTGAACGCCTGATGGTAATTGTTTATTTAGTTTATTTAAGTTTTAAAAATTATGAAAATATAGATAGATCGACAGATAGACAAATAGATAGATAGACAGATAGATAATAGATAGATTACCATGTTACTAGCATGATTCTAGCATAATTTAGCATGTTAGTAGCATGATTCTAGTATAAATTAGCATGTTACTAGCATAGTTCTAGTATGAATTAGCATGTTACTAGCATGATTCTAGCCTGAATTAGCATGTTATTAGCATGATTCTAGCATGAATTAGCATGTCACTAGCATAATTCTAGCATGAATTAGCATGTTATTAGCATGATTCTAACATGAATTAGCATGTTACTAGCATGATTCTAGCATAAATTGGCATGTTAGTAGCATGATTCTAGCATGAATTAGCATGTTATTAGGATGATTCTAGCATGAATTAGCATGTTATTAGCATGATTCTAGCATGAATTAGCATGTTATTAGCATGATTCTAACATGAATTAGCATGTTACTAGCATGATTCTAGCATAAATTAGCATGTTGTTAGCATGATTCTAGCATGAATTAGCATGTTGTTAGCATGATTCTAGCATGAATTAGCATGTTACTAGCAAGATAGATAGATAGATAGATAGATAGATAGATAGATAGATAGATAGATAGATAGATAGATAGATAGATAGATAGATAGATAGATAGATAGATAGATAGATAGATAGATAGATAGATGGTGGGCTAGCATGAGTCAAACAAGCCAACCCCCGCTTCTCTACGATATTCTGAAACATGAGATATAGCTGCTGTTATATTGTTGCTAGGTTAGTCTGTTTTGTTGCTATGAAGTTGATTGACAGCTTAGACTGATGATGTATCAAAGCTTCTTGCCAGTATGAACACTTAAAAGCAACACCCATGTCTCTATCACACTGCAGCATGACGATATCAGTCTGAACCTCTATAATGGCAGTCTATGGGACCGTTGCTAGGGTGTTGTATCTGGTTGTTAGGGGTGTGCCTAGAAAGTTAAAAGCTCATCAGTTATTGGTTGTTTGGTAGTCTAAGTTAAATGAGCCCAGTTAGAAGTCTGTGCGACAGTCTGATGTATAGTTATGAGCTCACAAAGTTTGGTGCAATGTTAAGCCAATGGGATCTTTCCAATGGTCCTGGGATGTTTTTCGGAAAACCGAAAATCGGATCAGTCCGAAAAGATATAGCAACCCGAGTCAGACCAGTTTGGAGGTCTGATGTGAGTTTGGTGGTCATAGCTCGAAAGCTCTAGGAGGAGATAGAGTTTAATTTTTAGTCTCAGAAGAAAAATAGGATAACAATAGTCTGGCTTGCTACACAAGTCAGCCTAATGACAACAATAAAAGAATTGATGCTAGCTGATAGTAATAGCAGTTTGCAAGTTAGTAGTATCATAAGAAACATTCACTTTTGCAAACACTGAACAACAATATGGCATAGTATGCCAGTATCGTGCAGCCCTTGTTAAAACTGTCTGAAACTGCAACTGACTTACATCTATTAATGCAGCAAGACCACCGATGAAGGCCAGAAGATAAAAGGCGAATCTCCAGCTATAAAAGAACAAAAGGGTCAGTTAGGGTTGATGTACAAAGTCCAGCAAAATCCACTAAAGGAGGTAAAGCCTTCTCATATATGGCTCCTAAACTCAAGAATAGGCTTCCTGATAATGTCCGAGGCTCAGACACACTCTCTTAGTTCAAAGCTAGAGAAAAGACCTGGCCTCGCAGAACTTCTTCAGCAGGTTTGGTCTGTCTTGATTTCTGCGGCGTCTGAACCAGCGCTGGACCTGCCGCTCTGTCCATCCCGTCTGCTTGCTCAGCTTCTCCACTGAACTCTGAAAGAGTAAATAACAGCACAACAGTAAGCGTGGGCTTCTCCAGTACTAATGGGCATCAGCAGCGCTCGTTCTCACCTGTGTGGGGTTTTTGCTTGTGTTGCAATAGTAGGACTCCAGTGCTGGATTGTGTGCAACTCTCCGTCTCACCGTTTCCTTCAGGCCCAGCAGAGAGGCCAGCGGTGTAGCAACATATCTGAGCAAACAAGCAGATTTCAGAAGCATTTAATGCGCTAGAAAGAGTTTTGGTAGTGATTTGTTCATTAGTAATATTGTAAAGCATACATTTGCTACAGCAATCCACATGAACATTTACTAGATGTTGTTAGAGGTTCAATTCTAATCAAAAACCACCAAAGTAGTTTTGAATCGCAAATCTACTTTATTAATATTGTCAAAAGTATGTTTTTTTTTCTTTGGTATTACTATTATTTATTGATTATTGTGACTTATTCTATCTATCTATCTATCTATCTATCTATCTATCTATCTATCTATCTATCCATCCATCCATCCATCCATCCATCCATCCATCCATCCATCCATCCATCCATCCATCTATCTATCTATCTATCTATCTATCTATCTATCTATCTATCTATCTATCTATCTATCTATCTATCTATCTATCTATCTATCTATCTATCTATCTATCTATCCATCCATCCACCTATTCATCCATCCATCCATCCATCTATCTATCTATCCATCCACCTATTCATCCATCCATCCATCCATCCATCCATCCATCCATCTATCCATCCACCTATTCATCCATCCTTCCATCTATCCATCTATCCATCTACCTATTCATCCATCCATCCATCCATCAATCCACCCATACATCTATCCATCCACCTATTCATCCATCCTTCCATCCATCCATCTATCTATCTATCCACCTATTCATCCATCCATCCATCCATCCATCCATCCACCCATTCATCCATCCATCCATCCATCCATCCATCCATCCACCCATCCATCCATCCATCCATCCATAAATCCATCCATCCATCCGTCTATCTATCTATCTATCTATCTATCTATCTATCTATCTATCTATCTATCTATCTATCTATCTATCTATCTATCTATCTATCTATCTATCTATCTATCTATCTATCTATCTATCCATTCCTCCATCTATCTATCCATCCATCCATCCATTCCTCCATCTATCTATCTATCCATCCATCCATCCATCCATCCATCCATCCATCTATCTATTTATCCATCCATCCATCCATCCATCCATCCATCCATCCATCCATCCATCCATCCATCCATCTATCTATCTATCTATCTATCTATCTATCTATCTATCTATCTATCTATCTATCTATCTATCTATCTATCTATCTATCTATCTATCTATCTATCTATCTATCTATCTATCTATCTATCTATCTAGGGGTTAAGCATTTTATTAAGAATTAAGGAAACCGGTAACCATTGACTTCCATAGTATGTGTTTATGGAGGGACATCAATGGTTACCGTTTTCTGACAGAACAAAACAACTCAATCTGGTTAACACATGACGACAGGATGTCCATTTTCAGATGAAAGAAGAAGGAAGAATGAGCGAGTAATAAGACGATGTGAAGGGGAAAGAGATGAAGAGTGAAATGAAGCAGCGAGAGAAGGCATTAAAGTTTAAAGAGCTCAGGAAAAAGCTTGCAGACACAAATAGAACGACAGATCTATTATAAACAGGCCAGACAGAAAGAAAAAGGCTCAGCTTATCAAATATCAGACAGAATGAAAAACAACCAGCTCTCAGATAGACATATGCCGATATTAATGAACATGCACAATCCATCCATCCATTTTTCTGCCCACACATCCATCTATTGTGATAATGAACATGCACAATATTGATACTGTAGTCAATAACTATTTATTATTAAAACTTTTAGAGTGCCTTTTCTGAATATTGCTCAATATTGAACATTATAAGAACTCATGATGGCTATGAACTGTTGATTTGAATGCATTAATGTTTAATAATGAGACTTTATTGTCAAGTGTTACCTGTTGAACTTTATAATCATTTTGCAACTTCCTTAACTAAGTATTTCAGAGTTATTATACCTGTTAAAGTAATATTAATATTTAAAAATACTGTTATAATACCGGCAGAATCCTACTCTCATTTATTTAAACAGATGAGCGCAGGAATAGAGATTTAAATACTCACTTCTCGAAGAGCTGTCGTATGAGCAGAAACAGCACAGCGATGGGCAGCGCCACCCACAGGTCGCGAGCTTTAGCGTAGACCCGTCCGTCCCGGTCCTCCAGATCAGCCCATCCCAGACCCTCGGGGAACCAGAGACGCTCCTGCCAGAACAGCTCGCTCAGACCCGCCAGCATCTGCAGCAACACAACACTCGTTCAGTTCATCTGTTCATACATTCATCAATCCTCCATCCACTTTTTTACATTCTTGCTAATCCATCCATTCATTCGTTTTACAGCTCACTCAGATGCTCACTTAGCTCAACTTTATTTATTTATTTATTTGTTTGTTTGTCAATTCCACCATCAGTCTTTACATCAACTCTCTATTTATGTCTAGCAATCTGTCTGTCCAACAGTATCTCTACATATATTTGTCAAACGTTCATCCAATTTTTTTACCTATTCATCCATCCATCATTTTTTTCTGCCAGTCAATCCATCCATCCATCAATCTATCTGTCAATCCACCAATTTTTCTGCCCATCCATCCATCAATCCATCTATTTCTCTGCCAATTCATTCATCCAGCCATAAATTATTCTACCCATCCATCTACCCATCCATCAATTTGTCTGCCCATCCATCCATCAATTTTTCTACACATACATTCATCATTTTTTCTGCCTATTCCTCCGTCCATGTGTCAATAAACAAATTTTTCTGCCCATCCATCCATCCATCCATTTTTCTGCCAATTCATCCACTCATACCCCAATTTTTTCTGCCCCATCCATTCATCCATCATTTTTTCTGCCTATCCATCTATCCCATCCATCCATCCATTCATCAATCCACCAATTTTTCTGACCATCCATCCATCCATCCATGTATCTATTTTTCTGCCAATTCATCCATTCATCCATCAATTCATCCATCCATCCATGCATCTATTTTCTACTAATTCATCTATCCATCCATTTTTCTGCCAATTCATCCACTCATACCCCAATTTTTTCTGCCCCATCCATTCATCCATCATTTTTTCTGCCTATCCATCTATCCCATCCATCCATCCATCCATTCATCAATCCACCAATTTTTCTGCCCATCCATCCATCCATCCATCCATCCATCCAATGTATGTATTTTTCTGCAAATTCATCCACCCATCCACCAATTTTTTCTGCCAATCCGTTTATTATTATTTTTTTATCCATCAATTCCATCCATCTATCATCCATCCATCCAGCTTTCTATCCATCCATCCTTCCATCTGTCCATCCATCCATGCATCTAGCTATCCATCTTTCTATCCATATATTCATTTTGTTCATTATTGATTATTGAGTGGATGGACAATCTATTCATCACACAAACACACACACAAAACCTCTAACGCACACACTGATTATTGCAATAAATGATTAATGTTGTCTTATCAAACACAACAGTGCTATTAAATCTGCTGTGTGCAAGCACTGGATCATGTTAAACATCGATTCATGACATCCCTCCATGCTTTTCAAACACATTTAAAGGGCACCTATTATGCAAAAATCACTTTTATAAGGGGTTTAGACAAAGTTGTGCGTCAGCAGTGTGTGAATATCTCCAGCCTCTAATGGTCAACATGAATTAATTGTGCTGTTTATAATCAGACTTGATAGAAACAGACTGCAGAAACACTTTGATTGACGTTCTCCCTTTGCACGTGTCATCAGAGGGGGAAAGCCCCGCCCACTAGTCTCCCTCATTAGCATAAACAGAATCAGAAGCAGCCGTCATAAGCAGAATTAGAGTGTTTGAGCTGCTGAAGATGATGTCAGCATAGACTCAGAGGATTATAGATGTGGAGTTTTAGATCAACACCGACAGAAGTCTGTCAACAGGAGCATGAAGCACACACTGACCAATGACAACATGCAGACCATGCTCAAACCTCACACACATACACTCTAAAGACAGCAGAGATGCATTCTACATCCCTTATAACATAATATAATCATATAATTAACATCATGTTGGCTCCTAGATTAAACTAAACTGTGCAGATGTATTCAGACTCGACCTGCAGACGATCATGTACAGGCTTCAGAGCGACCGCAGCTGATCTAGATTTAGAGTAAGAGCGGTTATTTTAGTCCTTTTAAAGGGAAAGAGCATGTGTGTTCTTCACATTACAGAGCGGGATTTACTCGAGCACACAGCGGTACCTGAGGTCTGTGTGATGTGGTCACTGTATTGTGGTTTTATAATGATCACGGGCGCTTGTTAAGTCGCGTACCGCTATTAATCTTAGGGGTGTAATACACTGATAGTTGAAGACAAAGTTATGAGCCCGACAGTGTTATATTTTCTTTCTTTTTTCCAGTATATTCCAAGTTCCAGACAAAACAGACTTGAGGAATTGTGTTCGTTGAATTATATTGTCTTGTGTACACTTTGTTTTAAGTGTATAATTCATGCTATTGCAAACCAGGTAATGGTTTGCAATAGCATGACTTATACACTTAAAACAAGATTTTTAGCTCAATAAACTACTAATTAGCTGCTTATTAATCATAGATATATACACTAGATATCGCATAGGGACCCTGAGCATGCGTCAATAGCGCCGCCACATTGGTACAGTGCTCCCAGGACAAATGTCATTCAACCGCACTAGTCAAGACAGTGTTATTACGTGAAGATGCGGGACTTTAGCGCTGTCTACGGGTGTAGTAATGAGCAAACAAAGAAAACAAAGCACAAAGGCAGAACATTTCATAGGTAATATTAAGTTTTTTCTGTTTTTTATGTTCTGAACTTTTGTGCTAAACAGTAGCGTTATTGATGATAGTCACTTACTGCATTCACCATACGGCAAAGCAGCTCCAACTCGCACTAAACACTCGGCTTATGCTAGTTTTGTTGAATAAAATCAGCAAACAATGCAAAAGAAATATGACAACAAGATGCTGCGCTGCCAGAAACTTGTATTATTGTCGCCTAACATTAGTGAAAGAGTCGTTTGGGGGATTCATTCACAAACGAATCGCTCCTCTGTCAGTATGAGAAGTAAAAGCAGGAGAGGAGCTGTGTTTCAGGACATGATTAGATCAGATTTAACAGGGAGGGTGAATAGTACATTTCTGTACACACAAACACAAGCTTTTTGTCAGGAATGGCCGTGCGGTCACTGATCCATCAATGTAGAAAAGTGATGTCAAATTATAATTTTCGTAATTAGAAAAATAAAATTACATACTAACATCCAGGAAAACTCCCGATCACAGATATATGTGTATATGTGTATATCTCTGGCTTTGCATGGCAACAGTCCTCCACTGTACCTTGGTCAGGCATTCATTTAAAAGGAGCGCTACCCTGTAGCAAGATGGCGGCGCTATTGACGCATTCCGTCCAATAGACAACAATAGGCCAGGCGACATCTAGTGTATATATCTATGCTTATTAATAGTTAATAAGGTAGCAGTTGGCTTTAGGTATTGGGATTAGGGATGTAAAATAAGATCATGCTTTATAAGTGTTAACCAAGCGGCGTCCTCCCGCTCTCTCTCAGGAAGCCAATACGGAAGTAACTGAAACTGCAATTCATCTGAAATTCCGCTAGTCCTGGCCGCTCCTGGCTCCAAAACAGAGCACATTTTAATTGAGCCCACTGTTAGAATGGCCAACTTTACAGCAGAAAAAAAGGTGTTTACAGCCTGCTACAAAGAAAGATTTTGGTTAATACAGCTAATATTACCCTTCATGACAACTGTGAGGGGGTGAATTTTTTTATAACTCATCCGTTTCCTTTATATTAAGTTATATTAAGTTTGCATAATTTAGGGCGTGGCCACTTGAGTGACAGCTAGGTCTCGTTGGTCGCCGTCACGTCACCTCAGCTGAATCCTGCAGATTAGTCACTGAACTCGGCATATTTATCGTATTTCTGTGTTGTTTTATGTGGCTTTACACAGTCGACTGCCTTTTGGACTTGTTTCCTACAATTATTAGATGGCATGTCATGCTGAGTGCACTTAATTGTGCTCACAAACCATTCACCTGGCCTCCGTTTCCCATGTGAGTAAAGTTATATACTTATATACCATCTCTATACATGTATTTGTTTTATTTAAGATCATTTATGGTTTATATTTATATTTAGAGCTGACGGATTGATTAGCTGTAGGCTCTAGATCAGTCATCTGAAGTGTTGTCATACAGTGTTCTGCTGGAGTTCATCAATAGTCTTACAGTAACTAACACAGACTATATCTGAAGTGTTTGGGTGTAATTCGCGTTTTCCTCCTGTTGAAAAACGTCATAAGAACAATGTTTAGTGGCTCAATGTATTACAGCAGTGTTTTTAAAAGTCTGAACACTTTATTTATATAGTGTACAACCAAGCACAGGTGGTCAGAATACAAACGAGTCACAGGTGATAAAGTATTAAGCGTTTCTCCCAAAGTAAAGTGTGTCTGAACGAGGTCCAAGCTAAATGCCAGCAGGTGTCTGTAGCTCCGCCTCACTCTCCGCCTCTTTGCCCTTGTTTGGTATCCCGCCGTGAGTGCGATGACGCGCAAACAAAATGGCAACGGTTGGCCGCGCCTACTTGTGGCTTCTTTTGCGCTCTTTAGAAACCTATGGGTGACGTCACGGACACTACGTCCATATATTTTACAGTCTATGGTGCTAACAAACAGTTATAAAGTGCTAATAATAGGCAGATAATAAGTCATTATTAAAATGGTGCAAATTGTTACTTAAATTAATGGGTTACACATTTTTCTTCTGGACAAAACCATTTTTTTACGTTAAAACTGCTATGGGCAATATTATTAAACCTCTTTAAAAATATATATATATATACACACACACATACACACAATCGCCGGCCACTTTATTAGGTACACCTTACTACCGTTTGGCCCCTCTTTTGCCGTCAGAACTGCTTTAATCCTTCGTGGCAGAGATTCAACAAGGTTCTGGAAATATTCCTCAGAGATTTTGCTCCATATTGACATGATAGCATCATTGCTCAGTTGATATATATATATATATATATATATATATATATATATATGTATATATATATAGGGTTTTTCACCTTTTATTGGGATAGGAAAGACAGGAAAGCACTGGAAGCAGAGAAAGGGGAGGGATTGGCATAGGACACAGGTGTCAAACTCAGTTCCAAAAGGGCC